GTCCCGCAGCCGAAACCTGTTTAATATTGTTAACGACATGATTGAAAATATATTTTACTGTAGTTTTTCTCAAGTTCCTCAGATCTTCCACTGGTTAAAAGGCCTTTTTTAAAAACCATTTTAATCATAAATTTAGGAGAATTTTTTTTTCTTTTTTTTTTTTATTCAAGACCACCGTGCCACGGTAGGCGGTAGCAATAACAGTAATAATAATAATAATAATAATAATATTATTATGTCTTTGAAGGTAGCGATTATCTGGCCAGAGCAACAGCAGCAGCCGCAAGCGCTTTCACTTTACACCCGCCCCCGCCGCCCCAGGTCTAGAATGCACACACAATAACAATGAAATAGCACAATAACAACGTTTATTGCTGGTTTTTTTTATTTCAATTCGCTTGACAGTTGTCTGCCAGTATCGTGTAACGGTCTCCAATGCATACCTTTAATACCTACAGAGTTATTCAAATTTACAATATTACAGTGTTGCAAAAAACAAAATACAATGCGTTTTAGCTAAATAAACGAGACACAAAAGCTATTTTTCTAGTTAAAATATATTTTTTTTTTTAACAGAGACTTTATAATTTCGGTTGTACTTTGGTTTATGAAATAACACTTATCGGGCCCTTTTTTTTGTAAAATAAAATGATGTTTTCTTACTACAGTGAGCATACTGAGCCAATATTCTACCACAATATCAAATAAATAAAAGAAAAAACGCATTCAGCAAAAAAATCCGAACTGGGGCCCTCTTGTTCTAATAAGTGTCTCAAATACCAAATTAGAAAATATCAAATTTTCGAGACGATAATATTTAAAACATAACTAGACTAGTCTTGTAGAAAACTGAGGTCAGATTCACTTTTTGATGTGTTATCAATTAAATGTGTAGACTGGACCACTTCATTGCTTCCCTTGACTTTAAATCCTAAGACACTAAGACTACTAAGACAATTATTATCATAAGTACACTGTTTATCACACAGTCATTAATTGCATTACATCATTCCGCTTTTAACAGGTAACTGAAATATGTAGGTACATATTGATATAACGGTCTTTGAAAACTAGCATTTGTAAATACCCTCAAAGGTACTATTTGTTTTTTAAATATTAACAGTAATTTGTTATCATTAAAATATAATATACTAAGGGCTTTATTAGAAACTCGTTTTTGCTTACATAACTGTTTCGTTTACAAAACCCATACTGTTACGTGCAATTCGGACAACCCAGTATTTAGTATGTACACTTTATTATTTTGTATTATTACTCCTAACCTACTTACGAGCACTCGGCCGAATTCAGATCGTGTCGTACTTATGCCCCCAAAAAAAAAAAAAAAACAAAACAAAATCCACTGACGACGGTTCACGATGAGGATTGCACAAAAACGGTAGTTGGGCATTATTTGTGTAATAATAATAAACTTGCTGCAACGCGTTTTGTACTGTTGTAGGATTTTAAACGAGAAGAACAACTATTGTGTGGTAATGACAGAATAAGGACTGGATTATTTCTAAGATTATAACAAGAAGAAGAAGTTTGGCATTTGCTCCAATGGTGGGCAAAAGAAGAGAGAATGGATTCTTCCAGTATTTGCCCTGTTCAAAGAAAGTGAAGGCAAGTGACACAAATCTAATATATTATGTTTACCTAACCTATCCGACTGACTAATCCATTGCATCATGATTGTAATATTTTAAATTAAAAAATCTACACTTGTTGTTGATAAATTGAATACTGAATACTTTGCATAATAGTTATTATTTTATTTTTTTTTAACTATAAAAGCAACAAGTATGAAAAGATCCATTATAAAATGGTTCGATGTGACATTTATAGTAAGTATCATATTTTTCAAGACGTCAAATATACTTTCACAAATATATTAAAAATATTTGTGTTATTCATTTTGGTTTCCAGCAAAAATATGATTAAAACCCATTTTTACATTACCCCATTAAAACATATTATTACAACTAAAATATATTTTTTTAAATATATCCATGTACTAGTGCGGTGCTATAATATTTAAATAAACAAATATTGTTAAAAAAAAAAAAAGAGAAATGAGATAAAATTGTCTGAGGACAAGAAATGGTGGGAAATTATAGGTTGAAAATCCATGAAAGAAGACACAGCCGATGTTAAATTAGACCAGACGTTTAGTACCGAAATGATGGTCATAAGAAATAGGTAATATCAGATATTATCTACATTATATAATAATAATAACACGGTAGACCTATTATGCAAGTAATTAGCAACATTACAATATTATAAATTCAATTAAAACCGAATACGTTAATACCTATGAAAATGTCACCACCGACGAGTAAGTGTGTGCCTACAGAGTTTTCCGGACGAGTGACGACAACCTTGTTCTTAATAGATACATAATAATATGTTAATCCGCTCGTATAATTATATAATACTTGGCTAATGACCACAGCGGCTGTTGTTGTAGCATTAAAATAAAAAAAAAACAAATGGACAACAGATTCGAACACTGCTCGGCTGCGGCCCAGTCAATATTTTTTAAGGTATTTGGACTTTTTATCATTTTATCTTTTTAAAATTGAGAACCTTTCGCTGAGTGAGTAGTAAACGGTTTTTTTTTTCTTGTACACTCCTCTGTTGCCCTACAAAAATGGGCGTTAATATATTATTATTTAGCTGTTGAAGTATGTGTGCATAACATGATAAATTATAATAATAATACAGTCAGAGGTTATCGCCGACACAAAGACTCTATTTGTTCTTTGTCGAACACAATGAACACAGTAATAGACCATAATAATAATTTTAAAAAAAAGTTAAACAAAACGTTGATTGCCCGGCTTGCTGGATGCGTTTCTCCGAGCAACTTGACCAAAAACGGTTATTACTGCGTTAGGCTTTGGAAATTCCCCGAAGATACAATGGAAATAGACATAAATAAATATGTCGTTGTCAAATGGGAAAACCTAATTTCCAGAGACTTTAACGTTTTAAACACTCTTCAATGGGTGTATTACAATTAATGATCTCAGGTCAGCGTTGTCAAAGAAATGTGTATCGAACGTCTTTAATGTTATCACCATCGACCGACGTTAATCTACTACTTGTTATCAGTAATATTCTTATCAGTTCACGTTATCATTGTAAACAGTGCGTACACTTTTTTTGGGCACTACAATCAAAAATCGTTATCACAAAGTCAATTGTCGCACTATGAAGTTGTGTATTTAATTTCAGCTCAGTTCAAAGCTTTGCTAGACATCATGGCGTTATATTAAACTAGATAGCTACCAAGAACTTTGGACGGCACTACATCAGACTATAGTTAACACGCTCTCTGCCCTTACAGACACTAAACCAATTGCCTTGTAAATCCCCAATGTGGGAAGCCACAAATCGAAGAACCCTCTTGTCTTGATCGTTCCACCCATGCCTAAGTATAACAGCCGTGCAGGTCCACGCCAGGTACCACATTTTCGACACGAACCTACTTGTTGTTTTATTCTAATTCGGTTTTTTCATCTACTGTTCTTTTTTTTTTTTTTCCAAACCGCCGCCCTCGGTGAACCGAATCGATTAGACTGTTGCCCTCTGGCCCCACCCCTTGCCCATCGACCCTCCTACTGCCTCCCCCGACTTCCGAGCGGTTCACTTCGCAACAAACGGCGTGCCTATGTGGTGTTCAGGTATATTTGTATATATTTTTTTTACACGTTGATAATCAACCGTCGTTGTCGCGGTGTGTCCTAGAAAACGATTATTTTTATTACACACCGGCGACTCGGTCACGGGTTTTTGCGCGCGAACGCAGCCCCGGTGGCGGCAAGCAGCTGCCGTCGGTATGCGCATAGTTGTGTACCGCCGGCAGTTAAATTATTACCTACACTATCCTACTGCTGCTGCTGCTGCAGGCTGTTATATAGTGGCTGCTGCCGGTAGCTAAACAAAATATACACACAGATAACACACCGGCAGCAGGTGGAGAGAGCGTGTCGAATAAAAAAAAAAAAATATGTAATAACATCAACAACAATACGCTGCAACCGCGACCGCGACTACGACTATGACGACGATGATGTTGATAACGATATCCCGGTAAGACGCGGCTGTTGTGATAAAGATTGCATTGGCAGAGGGATGCAAAGTTCACGACAACAAATGAGAAGTCAAAATGGATTTACACGCCGAATGTTCATACTCTGGTGTTCTGGAACTTCCCCCGAGGTTGTGCTATCGGGGTAGGCAGGTTAGCTCCTCTACTCGTTAGGTACAAGCTTTGGGAGGTCAAGAGCGAAGAGCCGTCCCCTTAAAGACCTGTCGCATAGCTACTCAATTGTCGCATCCCTCTCGTTTGGATTCGTCTGAGCGATCACGTTCCACGGCATCTTGCCGGGCAAGCCTTTGTCTCTTGTCCCCCAAAAAACCCGCCAGCAAGGTTTTGCCGGAAACGCACTTCCTCGACATCTGTCGCGGTGGCCATAGTATGTTGACAACACGCATGGAGACTATTTTTCAAAGCCTTTGTCAATTGGCCTCATTTAGAGTCAACCCAATCTGACCCAGCCAAAAAAAGCTGGTCTGCAAATAGCTGGTACCATTAGGGTCACAACTAGTGATTTAGCCTGTTCGGTGCAGTCTTTTCTACTCTGTGTTATCTAACCGTCGAGTTGTGCTGCACAACTAGTGGAATTCCAAACCGATTGACACTGCATAACCTAGCAGTTACCTAACCTCCTCAAGTGGGTAACCCGGCTAAACAGTTAGAGTAACATTGGAATGGAAACCACAAGGGAAAAGATCTAGGAAAAGATGGATTGACGTGGTGGAAGAAGATCTAAAAAAAAAGAGTAGACATGCCAGAAGAAGAAGAAGATAACATTAACCTATTTGAATCCTACAGGTTTCCCGCAGGCCTATGAAACCCAACGTTTGCTCGTAGAGACGAAAACGGGGTGGGTTAAGGGCCTCGAGGGTAGGTAGGGTGAATGTCTTACCTCGAGCTTCTCGCTGTACTCCTCGGCCAGCCGCTCGTTGCGCCTGGACAGCTCGTCGTTCTTCTCCAGCAACGCCTTGCCCAGCTCGGCGGCCAGCCGCAAGTCGCGTTCCCGTTGCCTGAGCTCGGCGTACACGTCCTGCGGTTCGGGTTCCAGGCTGCGCCGGCACTGCGCGTCGTACACGTACTCGTCCAGGTCGGTGTACATGGACTTGGCGGCCGGGTCGTCGGCGACCATGGGCTCGGGGCCGTGCGACTTGGCCGCGCCGCTCCTCTTGCGCTTCATCAGGTGCAGGCCGTCGTCCTGGCCGTCGCGGTGTTCGCCGTCCGACGAACGGTCGTCGTCGGCGCCGCCGCCGCGCAAGTCCATCGGCTGGTGCGGCCGCTGTCGCTGCTGCTGTTGCTGCTGCTGTTGCTGCACGACAACGGCGGCCATGACGAAACTGTGCGACAACGGACGGTGTGCACGAGTGGTAACACTACTGTGTGGTGAGGGTAGAGCTAGTGGCTAACAAACGATGTTTGACTTACTGTAATTACAAATTATAATACATATAATATACGACGGGATAGCAAAAAATGACAACAACAACAACAACAACGGTTTTTGTTTATTTCAACCGAAATCGTCGTCGGTAGTCCAGGCGCAATACAATAGCAACGCAGCAGCTGTTCTGGCCGGACGAACGACCGATGTTGGCATAATAATTGCGGCACCGACGACCGGCGGTGTCGACCGGTCTATGACAATAAACGGGTCGGCGGGAGAAAAATCAAAAATTGCCAAAATAATAAAAAAATTAATTTACTCAAAACGAACCGAAACGATTATTATTATTATTATTAACGACCATCGTCGTATTACTAGTGCGGCGAACGCGCGCAACGCAACAACGCAACGACCGCCATCGTCCACGGAACGCGGTGCACTGAAAACGCGGTGCACGGCCGAAAAACGTTGCTGCTGTCGTCGTCGTCGTCGTCGTTGCGACTTGTGGTGTACACACGCACGGTTTTCCTCGCGTAGGAGGTTATGGTGTCGATGGCCGCCGCCGCCGCCGCCGCCACCCGTGGAAGGGGTTAGAGAAAGAAACTGTGCGGCGGCGGCTCGGGAAAAACGGCATACGGCGGCCGCGGCCGTTACAAGGACAGAGCGGCACACGACACGCCATGCGGACACGCGTTGTACACGGTACACAATATACAGGATGATCCATATGATGCAAGACAACTAAATGAGAGTATTTTGAAAATAATTTTTTTTCTCTATACTTGTAAGTGCATTTTTATGTCAAACGAGTACGGATCTCGTTTTTATTTTTCAAATGAGAAGATGATTTTAATTTCATTAATTTGTAGACAAACGATTAAAAAAAAAAAAAATCAAGTGTTTTAATTTCTTAATTTTCATCAATCTGTCCGTTTGCTACATGGATTTGCAAAGATCTTACATTTTGTCTTATTAAAATTATTTTCATATGTCTTGGGTTATACAAATAATTTTTAAAACATAAAATAAAAGCATCAAATTAGTATTTATACTTTTGTGATCTTTAGATTTTTTGTTACATTATGACAATATTTAATTCATGATATTTACTTTTACTAAAACTTTATCAGTCACGTAGAACATTACATTTACCAATTTTCTATAGTCAAACTGCACCATAATTGACTTTTATCATAAACTAATTAAATATAAAATTCTTTTTAGATTTCATAGGTAATTAAAATTAAAAAAAAACTAAATATAATATTTACTATTAATTAAAAAAAAAAACAGTATATTGTTGAAAAAAATTGCCAAATCAAAATGATGCATTATTATACATAAAAAAAAATTCCTTCTTTTAACAAACAGTAAAATTAATTATTTATGTAATATTAATAACTAAATAAATATAATAAAATTGATAACACGCCACTGTTAGGACATGCTAGTTTGCGCTCAAATGGTTATCAATTTATCATAATTTTATTTTATATAAAAATCGCCTATACTATATGAGGTTTTTCGGCCTAACAACGATAAAAAAGTTAGTAGTTTTCAAAATTAAAAAAAAAAACTACCAAATTGCAGTAACAACTTTAATAGATATCGAGTGGCTCACGTTAGACGGATCACCCTGTATATTGGTTAGGTTAAAGAATTATGCGAGTTAAAAAACATTCCAATAAAATCCTTTTCAGAACTTATATTTACTTTAAAAAATATCATCTTAAAGGGTAAAGTTGTTAAAAGTCTAATAATTAGGAACATACATAATATTTTAATGGCCAGTTGAATTATTATTGAGAGCCCAATGAAGTCTTGAAAAAAACGACTTGCCAATAAACAGCTGAGAATAATTACTGTTTTTTTTTTTGTTAAGTTTTAACTTGATATAGTTTTTTAAACTTCTACTAAAACTTAGGAAGCCTAATTTCCTCGCTCAAATCATAATAAAATCTATTTCCAAATTCTGATAAAATCCTCAGTGTACATTCTAATGATAAAAAGTTATTATTAATATTTGGTAAAAAAAAATGTCATCTTATGTGGTCAAAAACAATTGTTGTCGGTCAATATCAAATAGCAACACACACATGATTCAGTTTACTTGTTAAAAAACACAATGATATTAGTATAATGAAAATTTATGTTGGATTGAACAGTTTCAACTATTGAATTGTATCTATTTAATTCCTTCACCCGGTCGGTACACCCGGTATAAAATAATATGTACACCTTTACACTGTGTATAAGGTTATTGAAATCGCGTCGGCGGTGGTCATGGCAATGTTTCTCTGTACGTTTGTCTGTTATTCGGAATACTAACCCCGAATGATATTAATAATACATTTTTTTTTTTTAAAAAAATATAATATACGGCCACTATTAGACATTACACGAAGGAAGCGGCCCACAAGCTAGAAACCGCACCCGAATTCGAATAATGTTATTAAAAAAAATATATATAGGATTATTCAAATTTGTTTGAGTTCAAAAAATTAAAAAAACTCTTATAATATCTGTCGTTTAAAACCCAATAAATTGTAGGTAGGTACAATATTTCTTATTAACATTCTGTTGTAACATAATATAATATTTATTAATTTTATCTTGTCGATAAAATTAATACAAGTTTTAAGTTTAATCGAAAAAGCTTTTTCGTTATTTATAAGCCATTCGTGTATACATAACTCAAAGATACATAGGTATTTTTTAGTCTTACATTGATCTCGTCCATTTACAATAATAATATATTACCCTACTTAACCCTATGTATAATGTTTGCGTATAGCTTACTTATAGCCATACTTAGAATGGCTAAAAAACAAAACAAATCCAACGTCGCCTGACCCAGGTGACTCTTAGATAGGTTTGGTTAGGTTAGGTTAGGTGAGGTTAGGTGAGGTTAGGTTAGGTTAGGTGAGGTTAGGTGAGGTTAGGTGAGGTTAGGTGAGGTTAGGTGAGGTTAGGTGAGGTTAGGTGAGGTTAAGTTAGGTTATGTGTAATCGAGCAATAATAATAAAAATTAGATAATTAAAAAAAAAAAAATTAAAATATTCGAAAAAAATATGTATTTAAATCCAGTTTCATAATACTATTTGTTTAGTGTCTCGTTTCAACTGACTAGCTTATATTTAATTTTTTTTTTTTTTTTAGGTATTTCATTGTTTTGGCTCGGACAGATTCACCAAAAACAATCGGCTATACACGACCGACCAGACTGCTTTCAGATCTGTTAAGGACTCTCTATGTATGTTTTCTTGTTTTTTAAACAGCACCGCCAGCCCAGAAAGTCTGCCTACGTCCGTGACAATATAATAATAATTATTATGCGATTATAATATTATATTACAAACGCTTTCGGTGCTCTCTTCTGGGGATTCGCCATTTTTTTTTTTTTTTTTGCCGTGTGTATTAGAATATTTTTTTTCACTCCTCAAGCGAAAACCGCCCACGTAGGCGGATGTGACCGGCCGAAAACATTAGAATAATATAATAATAATAATAATAATATATACTATAGGATTTTGCACACTTAGAAAAAAACACAACACACACACCCAAAAAGTCAGAGGCGGGCAAACAACACAAACTGGCCGGACTTGAGTAGGTCGTGGCCGCTGAGTCACACGCACACCGTTAACATAATAATATTATTGTAAAAATTAATAATAACATCATCAATCACGCCTGTGCTGTGCGTGACTCATTATTTTGATTTCTTAAATTCGCCCTTCTCGTTTGCACACAGCGAGCCGCACTGCCAATTTGTATGCTTGGAAAACATAATTAATATTATGTCTTAGGTTATATTATTATCTCAGGTTAGGTTAGGTTAGAATATTTTGGCGAAAAAGTTCCAGAAAGCTATCGCCAAACGCGACTCGTTCAAAAGCGATCATAATTGAATTCCCTTCCAACACTAATATTATTGTCACATCAACTTTTGAAAACCTAAACGGTAACGCGTAGATGTCATTGATTTTTCATTAATTTCGAATAACGTACTGATTATTTTGACCGGTCGAAAAACAGTTTTGCTGATAAAATATATTTTTGAAGTTATTGTAGTTTCGAGTTCAGCACATGAGGAAAGGTGCAAAGTAGCGTATCCCTTTCTGATCTTACATTTAAACTCTATTAACTTCAATACTGGTCGTACCAACAACAATTCAACGTTTTTTAAATATTTAAGTTTCAAAAGTTGATATGCAAATAATTAGACTGGGGGCGGTTAGGTTAAAAGCGTAAAAACCTGTGAGACATTGAGATCGCATTGTGCAATATTGGGTGGCTCACGTTGAAAAAATCACTCTGTATGTTTAAAAAAACTATAAGAGTCACGATTTTGTTAAACATTACTTTTTTTTTTAATATTCGTTCACTATTTAAATAAGTGAAAACCGTATGGAAGTTTATTTTTTATTAAGGCGATTCAAACGTTAAATTAAATTGTGAAGTTCCTATTTATTATATAATATATACAGGGTGATCAACTTGTCGCGAGCCACTCAATATCTCACTGGGTTTATAGTCCAGGCAAATTAGTAAAATAGCGGAAAAAATTGCTGGAAAGCTGAGTTTTGGTATACACCTTAAGTGAAGGGTCCTTAGTAACGCACCAAAAATCCCCCAAGATTAGATGCCTGTAGACCTGACCTCCGGCCCCTTTATGCTTCGGTTCCATAAATGCCTATTTGTAAATACAGCACCTCAATTACTTACTAACTTTGCTGGTTTACACTGTGGACTCGTGAGGTGGTGTCACAACCACAAAATGTATAAGTAAAATTGTTTTTTTGATATTTTTTTGTGATTGTAAACATTCTGTTGAAAAAATCCTTTTATCAATTTTACCTTATCCGAGTTACAAAAAAAAAAAAATATATTATTTGTAGTAGGGCCCAGACCTATTATAATAATTATTAGATCAATATCGATGGCGGTGTTTATAATCAAAGTACCTGCATCGTCTTCACAGTAAAATCTAATTTTTCAAAATTACTTGACAGCATGCAAATTAACGTTTTTTTTTGTTTGTAGGGTTGACGATGTTAACGGGTGTTATTTGTTTGTTTCCTTTTAGTGCTTTGCTTATAATTATTCTATTATGTGTCGCCGTATAATTAACGCTGACCGTATCTTTCTTCAAAGATTCCCAGAAGAAACGTTAACTATTTTATAAACATTTACCTAAAATATAACCTTTAATTATTAACTTACATATTTAAATTCCTATAAGATACCTAATCCAAAACCATATTACTAGTATTTTGTATGTTTTTCGGTTTATAAGCCAACTGTGTCTTTAAAATAAAGACACAACGGTAAAAATACAAGATAATAATTTAATCAGTTAAAAATCATTATAGATTTATGATATATACCTATAATTGAAACATCATAAATGTCATATTGATCTCGACAAACCACTACTACTATAGTCAGTCACGAATTGCACAGTATTCTTAAAAAAAAAAAAT